CTGGAGCTGGAGGGCTGTAAGCACGAGGCCTGGAAGGGCCCCTGGCTTGCTTGCTCTCCCAGTTCTACACACAGAGGCTGTGCTGGGCCCTCACTGGGTGCTCACCTGGTTCTCCCACGATGTCCTGAGCAAGATGGGTCAGGCCAATGGGAATAACTTCTGGCGTGACTCCTGGATGTCAAGATTAGAGACCCAGACAATCAGTGTTAAAGTATGCGCAGCAGCACAGGGTTAGACTTGCATAGATATTTCTTCTTATAGTTTCTTGGTGTACTTTAAAATTTAATTTATGTTATGTTTACTTTTCTCCATCGCCTAGAACTGGGTCAATTTTTTTTCCTCTGCCCCAAATACCCTTTGATGAAAGCTTCCGAGATACCTGATTTGACAGACTGCCAATTATAAAATAAAGCTAATCAATTCAAGTAATTGAGAAATACTTTTTTTTTCTCCCTTTAACCCCAATGTCCTAAATGTCAGAGGCAAACTGGTGAGTTTGGGGACAGAACGGCATAAGGAACCACTTCTGCATTTTGGATACAGCAGAACAGCAAAAATCAAGATCCAGGTGGGATGGGCAGGGTCGGGGCTGGATCCAGACCAGGCCCTTCTGCCTTCTCCGACGCCCTGAGGCTGGGCTTTGGGGTGAGTATCCAGTTGGCTAAGGTTCTAGGGCAGTCTCAGACCCTGGTTCTTCAAAGTCAGGCTTCCTATATTCTTGGCACTTACTGGAAAAGCCTGCCAGCCTGCTGAATGCTGCCCCGGGCTCCTGAGAGAGGCTGAGTTTGTCACAGCAGTGTGCCATGGCTGTCTCAGGTTCACTCAAGAGAGATGACTGTTTCCATTTTTCAGGAATCCCAGGACTTGATTGTTAAACTGCCACTAAATTTTGAATCACATAAACCTGTAATTAACCTGTGTGAAAAACAAAGGGATTTACTAATATTTAAAACTTATCATTTCCTAAAAATTTTGCCTCATTCTGCTCTGCCCTGTGCTCTGGAGGTTGTTTGTGCCTCCTGCATCTACACAACTGAAGTCCTGGCAGGCGGCTGCACTCCTAGCTCGGTACTCAGGGCCTCCTGTCCTCGTGGAGAACTGGCCGGTTGTCCTGTCCTTCCCAACCCTGGAAGCTGGCAAAGTTGAGAAGTGGGGCTCTTACAACACAACAGCTGCTGGTGAGCACTTCAGTTCCCAGATGGAGGCAGCATCCAACAGTCCACTGGCACAAGCCCTCAGATGGCTCCAAGTCCTGGGCTTTTCTTCACACAACACTGCTGAGTACGGGGGCAGGGGTGTCCAGGCCAGCTCTGCAATCTCCCTTCACTGTTACTGTCACCTAAGAGGATTCGTCTAATCTCATCACGGTATTACATAAATATTTGTTGAGTGCATTTGAGATATATGCATGCTACAGGGTTGTGAAGGCAGCAAGGCGTTTTGTCCTTATCAGTGAGCTTAGCAGCATTAGTAGTGAGAGTTACTATTTAGCAGGACAAGAACTATATTAGAGGTTTCTTCCTCCTCTCCACCCCTTTTATCCCTCCCTCCCTCTGTCCCTTTTCCCGCTTCCTTCGTTTTTTGAGAAACCACAGCTATGTTGTTGTCTAGGCTGGCCTCAAATTTCTAGGTTCCCCTGGCCTTAGTCTCCAAAAGAATAGATTTTAAAAAGCAAATTGTGTCTGGCAGGGAGATTCCCTTTGTCTCTACTGATTCATCACAATGATGGGGAGACCTGAGCCTGTTAGGGAAAGGACCATGCTTGCCCAGAGTTTATGCCTGGAAGCAGGGAGGGAGGCAGGGAAACTCTCCCCAATGTTGTCACAGTGCCCTCTGGTACCCCACAACTCAGTGGATGTCTTTCCTGCAAACCAAACCAAAGCCTCCAGTTACTGCTCAGCATAGGCGCTGGTTCCTGGCCCTTGCCAGTGGTGCCAGCCTCATGGAGAGGTGAACTGACTGCTGATGCTTGAGGGCTTTTCAAAGAGTAACTCTGACAATAGGGGATTTGCGCCTTTCTGGTGACCCTAGAGCCTGAAGCTGGCAAATGCCACTGTATGCCTGTGCCCCTGCCTCATGGCCTTTCAGTCCCGCTCTTCCCGTGCACCTGCCTTTGATGAGCAGAGCCTGGGCAGTCCTCGGCCTCCTTCAGCAGCAGCCAGGCCCTGGTTTGGCTGCACATGGCCTGTCCCTGTGGCTACTGGATCTTGGATGCCACAAAAAAGTCATCACTGGAACCACCAGTCAAATGCAAAAGAATCATGGCACACCATTGCGTATAAACCTTACTTATTTGTAGTCTAAAATGCAGACAAGTTGGTGCTGAACATTGTGCCCCACACTGAGCTTCACTTTCCCTGAGTTCCCTCTCTCTGTATTCTCGAGCTGAGAGATGGTTTCCCTAGCTATAGTCTGGGGCTGCAATGTCTGCAAAGGCTATGTTTTGCAGGCTTTGTCTCCATGCTGGTGCTATTGAGAGCAGTGAAACGTTTATGAATAAGGCCTGGTGACAGGGCCTAGGTCACTGGAGAATGTTTTCAAAGGAGCGCATGTGACCCTGGTCTCTTCCTTGCCCTTCTGCTTCTCTTGCCACATCCTTTCACCATGATGTGTTGTCCTGTCACAGCCCAAAACGTCAAAACAGCAAGTCAACACAAACCTTTTCTCTTCTTATCTCAGACTTTTGTCACAGTAAAGAAAAACTACCATCTTTCAGGAGCAATCTTTTCTTTCAAGACAGCTCTCCTGAAACAGTCACTCTTTAGTGGAAAATTCAATACATTGTCTTCTTATTTGGGATTTTCCTTGCTTGAAAACATGGATTTGCACCCCTACCTCTAGCGTGGTCACTGGAAAGGCAGAAGCCTGAAGATGTGGGGTTGAGAGGAATGAGTACGTGGGGCTCCTTCTGCTGCATCAGTCCTGGACTGGGAGGAAGGGCAGAACCAGGAGCTGAGGGGCAATGGTGCCAGCTGGCAGTGGTAAGAGTTGGTGCCAAACTTATCAATGTCCACACACTTGGACAGTATGACTGTGACAGGTCTTCAGCATGAAACCAAATCAAAGAAAAAGACCATCTTTTCTATGCAATACTTACTATGTGTCACCTAGAATACAGATTTAGTCAATGGTTTAAATAATAGGAAATCTGATTTTAAATGCTTTAGGAATTGATTTAGGAGGATGTTGAGAAGTTACCAACTCCTATCACAGCAGAAATTTCCTCCATGACAACTCAGGAAGGTGATAATTACCTGATGCCCAAACACCTCTGAGAGAGAGCTGTCAACCTCACACAGCAGCTTATTTTTATTTTACTTTATTTTCAAAAAATATCTCATTTCAACAGCCTTCTCCCCACTGACTTAAAATGACTGCTCTCTAGATCTTTGATCCATGCACACGATCTCTGGGAGGAAGCTTGAGCTCACCATCTTCCCATCTCCTGACGACAAGGCCCCAGATCAGTCTTCATCCCATCTATCTCTGTGCGTACAGATGGTCTTTCAATACACGGAGGACATCAAGAAAGAATTCACTTGGTGGTAGACTCCCATTTTATTTATTTTGCAGACTAAACCCAGGGCCTCATGCATAGTAAGCAAGTTCTCTATCAATGAGCTATGCCCTAGCCTAGCAAACTTTTTTTTTTGGTACCGGGGATCGAACTCACGACTGCACATTTGCAAGGACAGGAGTTTATGCTGCTGAGCTAAATCCCCAGCCCACCTAGCAAACTATTTAAAACACAAAATAAAGTATCATTCTCCTAACCCTACTTTTATGCTTTTTTTGAATACACGAGGGTTCACGTTCTGTCTCTCTGGTCTCCACAGTAACATCATAAAAGATCTCTGTTGTAGATGCACTCAGTGGCCGAATACAATGGACAGTGGTTCTGCTCAGTTGTACAACCTTGCAGCCAGAGGCTCCACTTAAGGAAGCTGTGTGACCCCTTGACCATCAGTTCCTGCCTTCTCAGTGTAGAGCCAGGCAATGCCAAGGAGTGAGGCAATGCCCAGGGGCAGCATCCCTGGAAATCTGGGGCACATGGCCTTTTGTGTTGGCCTGCAAGGCCCTGTTCTCCAGTGGTATGTTCTCAGGTTATGGCTAATCCCCTAAAACAAGATGAAGCCTCAAAGTTTAGCCCCATTATGGATATCATTCCTGTACCTGAGACTGCTGTCTTAGAATTGGCATGAATCTTAATGCTTGAAGCCTTTGTAGCTGAAAGGACAGCTCAGCTCTGGATAAGACAGTTCCCTGAATACTAAGCCATCCTGCCTTACCTCTTTTCATGAGGATGGAGAAAACTGTAGAGAGCAGAAACTTCTCAAGACATACCCTTCCCCTTACCTGTGGGCATCCGCCTCTTTCCACTTTAATTAACCAGTGAACCAGCCTCTACCTTTCAAAGGAATCTGAAGGAAGCCACTCTGCCAAGTTCCAACTGAATCCCTGTGACACTCAAGAACATGGGCCAGGCTCTTGTGTAGGTTAAGGAAGTACAAGAGGAATAAAGATTATAGAGAAACAGCCTACCTTTCTTTACAAGCCTTGTTTTGCATCCCTGACATCTCAGATTCAGCTATTACAATGAAGTCCTGTTGTAGAGAGAGCTGGCCTTTTATCACCACTTAAAATCTAATTAATCCATATTGAAGCACAAAGATTACTGTTGTATTTTAGGGTGAGGGGTCATAGAGACCTCTTTGTTCATCCTTGGACTTATAATCATCAAGCATTGGGGATATAATTTTACCAAGCAAATTGGAAGGTAACAGATCAAATCCTTATCGGAAAACCTAACTCATAGTTTTAACAGAGACCTTCGTCCTTTACAGGAAACATTATATTCAAGTGGAACAAAAAGCATTTCAGAGAGCTCAAAGAGTTAATGACCAAAGCTTATATTCCAGGCGGCATAGGACCAAAATCACACTACTGTCAACCACAAGACAGCAGATCCTATAGGGTGGCAGAGTCCTGACATTGTTGCAATGGCTTTAGTCTTTAGAACAGCAATGCAGTCGGTTGGGCTTTCATTATCATTGCTGGGATGGGTTTTATCCATCACTACAACTTATCTGCCACACTGGAAGAACCTCAACCTGGACTTAAATGAAATGGAAAACTGGACCATGGGCCTGTGGAAAACCTGCGTCATCCAGGAAGAGGTGGGGAGGCAATGCAAGGACTTCGATTCCTTCCTGGCTTTGCCGACTGAGCTCAGGGTCTCTCGGATTTTAATGTTCCTGTCAAATGGGCTGGGGTTTCTAGGCCTGCTGGTCTCCGGGCTGAGCCTGGACTGTTTGAGAACTGGACAGAGACTGCAAGATCTCAAGAGGCAACTGCTAATCCTGGGAGGAATCCTGCTCTGGACCTCGGGAATCGTGGCCCTCATTCCAGTCTCTTGGGTTGCTCACATCACAGTGCAGGAGTTCTGGGATGAGACCATCCCAGAGATTGTCCCCAGGTGGGAGTTTGGGGAAGCCCTCTTTCTTGGCTGGTTTTCTGGGATTTCTCTTCTGCTGGGAGGGAGTGTGCTTCACTGTGCAGCCTGCTCAGCCTCAGCTCCTGGAGCTCTGGGCCACTATGCAGTGGCAGAAATAGGACCTCAGTGTTCACACCTGGACAATGGAACAGCAGATCCTCAAGTGTAAGGGCCAGCAAAGCCAGCATTATACTCTGTGTCAGCTGCGTTGATGAAGAGGTCTTTTTTAAGCAACTAAATTTGTGCTGCTTACATTTTCTCACTCAGTAATTATTTTTCTATACAGATTCTTGCCTCCTAAGTGTGGAGAACAATGAAGGGAAATTTTATGTCTAAAAGGAAACTTTATGGTGAGCATTATATAGGTATGAATGACAAAGTGTTACTGATCTGGTTATGTAGATCAACATGTAGTGGCTGTTTAATATCTTCAGGCTGGAGCTTTACTGCATTAATTTTATATTGTGAAGTGTTGTTACTTTTGTTGGTAGCTACAAATGAATAGTTTCTGTTCTCTAAAAGACAATAATAACTATCTGTTGTACATTTAATAAAACTACATGGTAAGCGAATCCCAAAATGTCATTTCCACAACAATGACTTTGCTCTTCTTTGGACAGAAGAGGCTTGTGTCTAGAAACTCCTTGGCCTCCTGTTTAATTTTATGGAGCAGAAGATCTTCTGTACATTGTGATGCTCTTTAGTTTTTAAATAATGACAAATCTCTTTAAACTTTCCTAAAAATCTCCCTACTTAAAAAGTTCCAAAGATATCTTTCTTGACATCCAGGCATTGTTACTTGCCAGAATGAAAGCTCTCCTATTCAATAAAAAATTAATATATAGAATATATATTTTAGTTTTTAACAAATGTTAATTCTAACCTACGAAGTCCTATTGCTTAATTTCCTCACAACACAGAAAGCATATTTCAGCACAGGAATAAAAAGAGTTTATGCACATGTGAATGAATTTAACAGAAAGGCATGCAGATAAATGGGCTTGATATTTAGTTCAGTATTGTTTCATATGCTATGTGGTATAGGTATCCAAGGAGATTTTTAAAAACACGCCTGACAGAAGGTCTAGAAAGATTTGTGATAAGATTGATTTATTTGGTTAAGAAATACTTTTCTTGAACCTATTTTTAAAAAAGGGTAACACCAGAATTATCATAACAAAATGCATTGAAATCTGAGAACTATAACAAGATGAAAATCTGACAGGTACAATTAGTATGACATAAAGCAGTAGGAGGTGAACCAAACCTTCAATTAAACATTTTGGCATTTACACTTCTGAATTTTGTGACTTGTTAAAAAGGCTGGGAACAACACGAAAGCCATTTATAGCTTAACAATGAAAGGGGATTAGTACTACTTGATTTTATTTCACTGACAAAGTGCCTTCTACAAAATCCAGCCCATAGGACACGAACACAATCCTGGCCACACCTTGGCATTACTGGTTTGCAGCATTACTTCCTATCCATTTCTGAAACCATTCCTACATGGGCTCAAACAATAGCAACTCTGGCAAGAATCCTCCTACACACACAGTGAAAAAATATCTCAGCTCCGCAAGTAATTAATCAAGTGTCACACTTCTTTTCGTAACACCTGAAGGGCAGCAGTCAGGTTGGCTAAAGCTTGAAGGACTCTCTAATGGCTTTAGTCTTTAGAACAGCAATGCAATCGGTTGGGCTTTTATCATCTCTGTTGGGATGGGTTTTATCCTGCCTTACAAACTACCTGCCACACTGGAAGAACCTCAACCTGGACTTAAATGAAATGGAAAACTGGACCATGGGCCTGTGGAAAACCTGCGTCATCCAGGAAGAGGTGGGGAGGCAATGCAAGGACTTCGATTCCTTCCTGGCTTTGCCGACTGAGCTCAGGGTCTCTCGGATTTTAATGTTCCTGTCAAATGGGCTGGGGTTTCTAGGCCTGCTGGTCTCCGGGCTGAGCCTGGACTGTTTGAGAACTGGACAGAGACTGCAAGATCTCAAGAGGCAACTGCTAATCCTGGGAGGAATCCTGCTCTGGACCTCGGGAATCGTGGCCCTCATTCCAGTCTCTTGGGTTGCTCACATCACAGTGCAGGAGTTCTGGGATGAGACCATCCCAGAGATTGTCCCCAGGTGGGAGTTTGGGGAAGCCCTCTTTCTTGGCTGGTTTTCTGGGATTTCTCTTCTGCTGGGAGGGAGTGTGCTTCACTGTGCAGCCTGCTCAGCCTCAGCTCCTGGAGCTCTGGGCCACTATGCAGTGGCAGAAATACACGATCACTGCCAACACCTGGAAATGAAACACACCAACCTGGAACACTAAGCCAGTGGGATCAGCAGAGTCCGCCCTTCAGGAGAAGCTTGCTCAGCAATGGATTTGGTAGGAGCTTCCGCTACATAGTCATTCACTGTGCTTTCAATTTTCTCAAATATCTTTTGTTTTTCTTGTGGCTGTTAGGTCCTTAAAAAAAAAAGTTTCTTTCTAAGCCTGGTAAATGACTTTTATTTTCTACCTGGAGACCAAAACCAATTAAGAGCTAACAGTAATCACATTCATTACTGTACATGGCTGGTTTTTTATTTTTTTATTTTTTTTTCATTTTAAAATAGACAGTGATTGCACAGAACTGGCAAATAAAACATTATATTAGTACTTATATATCTTTGAAGCAATTATTCATGTGGAAATGAATCATCCTAGCAATCAGAGACGTTCTCCTAATCATTTGCTTTTTTCAGCTAGTTAAGACAACTGACTATAATCAGAGTAATGTCGCGCTGCATATTTATTTGAAATGATGACACTTGAGTACACTAAACACAACTGCTGGTTCATCAAAGGCATTAGCACTGTGAGACAAGGAGCAAATTATCTCAATTAGAGGCCTCAGTGCCTCCACAGAACCACATTCACAGCCTTTAAACAGAGAAGGAAAATTTCATGTTTTAGAATCATGTAGAATTTGCCATATAGATGTGCTTCTGTGTCCTGTGCTCAGCAGTTCACGGCCAACCTTCCTGCCTGTCCCCCTGGCTCTGAGCAACCCCAGGGGGCATGTTAAGTCCAGGATGGTACAGTGGGCAGAGGGCCTCTTAAGGACAGCCACCTCTTCCCAAAGCACTACCAGCTTAGGTGGCACAACAGCAGGTCTTCACACGGGAGCCCTTCATCTCCCTTGCACAATGAAAATACTTCATCTTTTTATCGGCAATATATATAATCTGAACAAGAAGGATTCATGACAAACTTCTGGCTTGAGGAACTCTTCGTGGAACGCTTTATATTTGCTTGGTACATGGTTCAAACAAACTTTTGTGCTTGTGTCAACAAAGGAAATTAACTAAACAATAAGCAACACTGAAATAAAGTATTAGGCAATATGTATCTTTGTTTTTAAAAAAGCCATTTAGTTTTTTGTTCCATCTACAAACACATGGAAAGTGCAGAAACTTAATCTATGTGATGTATAATTGCCTACTTTTACAAACAAGACAAATTAAAACAGAAACACAGAATTTAACCTGATTAAATATTTAGTTCAGTCCTGAGCTTTTGATATTTAATACAATACAAAGTCATAACACAAAAAAGATTCTAAATTTTTTTAATTTGCATGGTACAGAGATTCAACTAAACTTTGTTCATTTGGCTAGTAATATTCTTTTTGTACCTGTAATACTTAAGATTCTGATATACAAAACTGTAATAACATACTGATAATTCAAAGTTGAGAACTAATTATTACATTCTTTTTACCCTGTGCAGAATAAATTCTACCTCTTCAAAATAGTATTTATAATATTAAAATTCATATTTGTCCACGTAATTTTGTGATCAAGTTAGTAAAATGTCTCATCACTGTGAATCATTTGGGTTAGTATAAATATGATGGGTTATTAAAACTGCCTATAAATAACACTATTGCTGATTTTTAAAGTGTGGAAATAAGTAATAAAGTATCAAAATAAATTTGCCTTTCATGTTAGAAATGAGAAAATTTTATAAAATAAAACCCAAAGCTTCTTGGTCACAATTGTTAACTACCAGACAGAGACAGATTTTTTTCTTTAATACTCATCTGAAACTTTTTGTATTACAAAAAGTTAACAGTTAATCTCATGAAGATTTATAAAGTTGTAAATACTCCAATATAACTTCTTCTATGTCAAACATTTAAAATGGCCAGAAACAAACTATATATTAACAGAACATAAATAAGACTGTAAATAAATAAATGAAGAAAATAAAATTGTACGGTAGAATCACACACAAATCTATAAACATTTTCATGTTTATAGACTAAGAAGCTGAAAACAGCTGACCTTCATTTAACTCTACATTAAATAAACTTGTCTTTCACATTTAATCTCAACAAGGAAGAATGGTATTCTTTTTCTAGTTTTCCTTAGTCATCCAACAGAACAAACTGGGCAGCTGTGAAGGACTAGATTCAATCGATCACTAGGCTGACTTTTGTTCAAAGCAGGGTCACGTCCAGTTATGTTTTCAAAGAAATTTGCATGTTATGGTAAAACATTTAGAAAAAAATTGAAACTATAGGCTCAGAAACTGCTTAATTTGAACTCCTCTTCTGAGAAAATAAATTTCTAATTATGTATAAGTAGTTTTAAGAAAATAAAAATTATTGCAAATGAGGCTTCAAGCAAAAGGAAGAGCGTTTTATTCTTTAAGGGATTCATCCTTTTAAGATAATTTATCTCTAAAGGAACTGATTTAGTTTGCTATATAAGATGGCTAACTCAAAACTACACTTTCCAGTACACTGCACTAATAACGGTTTAAATGGCCTAAATTTTAAGTATTTTAAAAACAGTACTTATGCTGGCAAAGCTATACTTAGGAATTAACTTTTTAAAGAGGTGCCCACATTGGATATGCTAAAATTTTAAATTGTAGGACCTAACACTTTTGTCAGTTATCTTTGAATTCATTCATCCAGGACAGTTTTTTCTTTTCTTCTTCTTAAGTAAATGATTATCCTATTATTCCAAATTAACAATACTCCCAGACACACTCTTTCCTTTGCTTCCCAATGATTTAACATCAATTATAGATAGAATCCCCTTAAACTGAGAGCTGCAACATAATTTCTAGTAGATGTCAGAAGACTGTTAGATAAACTTTTTTTTTCTTTTGGCAACTTTGAATCACTTAAGATGCAGCCTTTCCTCTGTTCTTGGCATCGCCAATGCATGTGGTTATATTTCCCTCTGCATCACTAGAACTGTCTGTACTCAGAGCCCAGGGTGGCACATGCTTCTCCTTGGCATCACCCTCAGACCCAGGAAGAGGAAACCCTGGTGAAGGCCAGAAACTCACCTGAAAACTCTTGCAAATTCTGGTCAGGTTAGAAGCAGCAGTTGAGCTGGGTGTGGTGGCACATGCCTACAATCCCAGCACTCGAGAGGCTAAGGCAGGAGGACTGCTGTGAGTTTGATACCAGCCTGGGGTACAGCATGGCCAACCTGAACTGCATAGTGAGACCCTGTCTCAAAAAAAAAAAAAAAAAAAAAAAAAAAAAAAAAAAAAAGCAGCAGGAGCCGCTTGGTTGATGCATTTGCTGAGTGTGTCTTAAGACAACTGTATTCTCACTCTGTCCTCACCCTCAATGCTAAGAGTTATAAGCTCCATTGTGTAGTCAGGGGCACTGCTCTTTTGTGTTCTTACACTGTTGTACTCAGCATTTTTTACTTTGCTTTCTCTAAAAAACTATTTTAAGAAAAAAGGTATCCTAACAAAGGTAACAGGAACGAACAGAGCACCATTTCAGGCGGCCTTGGAGCTGTGCACTCACACCTGCACCAGGTTCACCTTCCAAGGAAAGAACTGCTTTTACTTCAGAAACACTACACAACGTTGAGCCCTTCACAGTCTGCTCACAGAAAACAAAGAGAAAGCCAAGACCACCTTCTGCTGAGCCCAGCTCAACCACGAAACTCCCAAACACCAGTGCTGCCTCAATCCACTGTATGCAGTAAGGGCCACTGGCAGCACACACACGCGCACGCACACCCCCTCCACACACACACTTGGTGTACCAGCTTATCCCATTTTTGATATCTAATTTTCTTCTTTAAACATACAGGATATTACACAAAAGGTAGGTACTTTTACAAACTGACATCTGGTTAAAAATCTGGTGTGAAATAAAGTTCTTTAAGAGCTGACAATTATGTTACAAAAAACAAAATAAAACAAAAACAAAGCAAATGGTCAGTCTACTGCCCTCCCTACGAATGTGAACAGGTGGAAGCAATGTGTCCACTGTGGGGTCACACGTCGTCAGCCGGTAGAGAAGGGATGCTGATCTTCGCTCGGGTGAAGTAGGCAATCTTCTCCCTAAGGTGGAGGTGAAAAACCAGCTTCAATGCGATACTGTGAACACTGTGAGCACCAACACAGCCCCAGCCCCTCCAGCAGTATCCCCTCAGCAGGGCGGGGTATCTTTTCCTCAGACAGAACTCCACTCAGAATCTGGTCAGCTTTTCCTTTCGGGATGGCACATGAGCTGCTGCCCTGCTCCCCCTGTAAATCACCTGCAGATCTGGCTGGGGAGGGCCCTTCGAGGGTTTCCAAAAACAGGGGCAGTTTTATTCCCCCAGGGGTTTGTATTGATGCTTCTAAACCAGGTGGCAGAGGATTCAAAAGGGTCAAAGATCTGCATGGAAACTTCTCAGCAATCCCAGAGATAAACCCATGATATCAGGGAAATTCTTTAAGTTAGCATCATGCTAAGTCAGGAACCACCTGGCAAGTGCCATGGCTCAAACACAGAAGAAGGGGACGATTTGACTGTCTTAAAGGGGAAAACTGCCCTGCATCCCAAAGCAGGGATAAGAATTCACTTAAAGGGAGAAGCTGGGGCAGAATGGTTGTCACATTTGGAGGGTACTACAAAAAATAAGATTTTAGGGTTGTACAGTTACTAAAGATGAGAACAGTCTTCCTCTCTTTTTAAAAAACCTCCCATCATACCCAGCATTCAGTCAACACGGATGAACCAAGGGCATATTCCAGATATGAGACCAGCAGAGGATGTTCTGGAGGCTAAGCAAAGGTAGAGGAGAAAACGAAGAGTGAAAAAGCTGAGCACACTGGGACAAGAGGGCAAAGTGTCCTTTGACTGGTTCAGTTTCACAAGAGATGAAGATTTAAAAAGGTGAGTCTGGGCATGCTGCTGGGGGAGGCCTTAAGGTGCTCTTAAAGGTGTATAAAAATGCCTATGCTGGGGCTGGGGATTTAGCTCAGCGGCATAAGTGCCTGCCTTGCAAGTGTGCGGTCATGAGTTCGATCCCTGGTACTGATAAAAAATGAAAAAGACAAAAAAAAAAATGCCTATGTTGTCAGTGCCTGTATCTGAGGTAATATGAAGTTCATGATTTCTAACTTCTTTTGAAAAATCAGAAGGCCAGGAAATACGGGGCTCATAGTTCTAGATAAAACAAGCTGCTGGGATGCGGTTGCCCCTGAGTGCCAGGCAGCATGGCCCACGCCCCACCCTCCCCAGTCTCTCTCCACCTGTCAGGTGCCACCCCTGCCAGTGCCACATACTTCCAGGACAATGTATCTTATCCTGGCACATCATGCTCATTCTTATCACCTGCCTGGTGGTATAAATGTATTTGTTTCTTAAGAAAAGGCAGGATTGTTTACTCAGTCTTTGTTTTGGTTTCAGTAACAACTGGGAGTTGTAAGATTTTCCACACTAGACAATGCTGCTTAATCCTGACATAACCAAGGACATAGAGATTGCTATCATCATGCCATACTTCTAAACACCCAAGTAACAATAGTTCCCAAAAGTTACGGAAATGGTGCTCTAGCAGAATGGAGATAGGAAAAACGTAACTCTTTATTATCAAATGTCATGTGAAAAACTAGAAACATCACCTACCATGCCTCAGCTTCCCTTCCTTCTACTTCTGGACTCAAGCTGCCCAGTCCTGCAGTTACCTCCAGTGTTGCCTTCTACCCTTGCCCTCCCCCTGGCACCAAGTACCATTATAGACAACTAAAGTAGGTAGAAATATTACAGGCAGCCAGATGGGGCTACGCCCTCAAGACAGTCAGTGCAGAGAACAAAAGCACATTCAGCTGTGGCTGGAGGTGCATCATTGAAGGCCAGGCATCAAATACAGAATGACAAGGCCTACTTGCCTCCCCAAGGGGTAAGTGATAGACTTTAATTAGTATCACCTGGTCCAATAAAGTCTAGATAGACACCAGTCACCCAAGTGGGTGACCAGGATCTGACTCACCAGGACCTGACCCATCTCTCCCCAAAAGACCCTTGTTCTTTCCATGTATGTTTGCTATGTGACCGGCTTCCCCACTGGATCAGTATTACCTAGGCAGCTGTATTTGCAATCTACTAGTTTATCGCAGTTTTGCCCCATGCTGGACCCACCTCATGATCTTGCTCTAGAATACTGCCTTCTTACATCATCTTGGCTGTTAGTCCCAAAATTGATAGTGCCCAGCAGGCTTCCTTCCCTGAGCACCTCTTCCCATTTTCTGGCCCGTCTGTACTGGTGAAACCACCATATTGCTACAGAAGACTCCCAGACCTTAATCCTGGCTTGAGGTTTTGATTTTCACTTATGTATCAGCCATAATTACCTGTGCTGTGCTACTGCAATAGGTAACCTGCTAAGTGCAAAAGCAGGACCTGATAGCCTCTTTTTTCTGGATTCTCAGTCTCACGTCCTGGCCCTGTGAAGTAACACCCCTCCCTCCACTGGCCCCCAGTAAATTCACGGTCTCCTCTCACCAGTTTCTCCCTGGTCCTCTCTCCACAATGCCTCAAATACCTGCTCACACAAACTTGATCCCTATCACTGACGTTGGTGTTTGGAAACCTCCCTAGCTCTTTCACCATCCAGAACCACAGCACAAACCTTCGGCACAGCATCTGAGGCCAACTCTACTTGACAGGTCCACCCTGCTGGCAGCTTCACTGGCTCACAGTGGACTTGGCATTGACTTGGCTCCACTCAAACTCACCAGCCCTACAGCCTGAAGAACTCTCTATGCCCATGGTCTCCACAATAGGTTCAGATGCCGCTTCTCTACTATGTCCCTTCTAGTGTCTGCAGCCTACCTGTGCATAGATGGAGGTCCCTCCTGCTGCTCTCACAGGCCCCTATTTATCCCTGTATTAGCTTTTGCCACATGGTGTCACATGATCTGGTTGTGTGCCTGTATCCCTTGCCTCTCTGTTCTGCAGGGCCTACTGCAGTGTAAGGCTTCAGGAGTCTAGAGTGAGTAAACAGCAAAACCCCAAACGTCTATGGCTTTCCTGGTCTTCTACAAAATACCTTGGGTCGTGCTAAGGAGAGGTGCAAAGGGTACTGACAGCTGGGGATGCTGTCTTCTGGAGGAGCCAGGTTGTCGTCATGGCTGTAACTCAGCCATCACGTAACCTCAGAAAGAGGCAAACACACAACTGTATATTCACAATGGGGAATACATCTGGTATTAACTTGCACTGTACTCTGAGGGGAATTCCTGCAGAATTGCAGCAGAGCTGTGCCACACTGGGCCACTTACCTGAAGGACTGCACCTGCTGAGGCACCTTTCGGCTCTGCTCCCGGAGCCGGCACACGTCCTTGGAGACCTGCCTCATCAACTTCTCGGCATTCAAGTCTTGCTTCTGCTCTTCTTTTGTCTGTTCAGCCTGTGAAGAAAAAAAGAACACAAGAAACCCAGAGAATATTAATTAGAGGTCCTTGAAGGCTTGGAGAAGTGGGATGGAAGCCAGGCAGGTAAGCTAGGCAGCCAATGGTATCCTTTTTCACCCGTGAGGGAATCACATCTGCCCACTCATCTCACACGGACGGGACTGACACAGGGGCAAGACTGACTGTACTTAACTTCTCCATCTGCAATACACAGACTGTTTTATCCCATCTGGAAAATGTAAGAACCCTCAGGAAAGAAGCTGCAAACTTCAAGTGCTGTTTCTGAGAAATACCAGTTAACATTGATGGTGAACACATTTTTAACTTCTTCTTCATTGTTCCAATCCTTTTTCTAGGTTGGCTGCTTTAAATAAACTGCTTATTTGAGTGAGGCGTGGTGAGCATTCCTATAATCCCTGCACTTTGGGAGGCTGAGGCAGGAGTATGAAGCCAGCCTGTGCAACTTAATCACTTGGCAAAGACCTTGTCTCAAAATAAAAAATATGGGCTGGAGATATAGCTCAGTGCAGAGACTCAGGATTTAATTCTCAGTATCACAAAACAAAAACAAATAGACAAAAACTGCTTATTGAGTGGCACTTATCCACCAATGAACTGCACCTGTGAGTACACACTTCAAAGCTCTTTACAACTGGAACACACCCATGAAATGTGCACAGGCTGAAATAACAGAAAAGACATTCCAGGACTCTGCCCCATGTCACCCTTCTGACCTGCACCCCGAGCATTAGCAGCATTTTGATTTCTCACTCTACAGGCTAGTCTTCCTACTGTGTTCTTTGAAAGCATCAAATGGTACAGCAGGCACTAATTAGGGCTTGACTCCTTTTGCGTCTAAGAATTATATACACTGATGCATGGAGACGCAGCTCAGTTTTTCACTGCCATATAACATTGCACTGCATGACTCCACCATGCTATTTGTGTTACTGTTGACGGACACCTAGATGTTTTACATGAATACATTTTTAAAATAAAAATAAATAATACTATATTTCAAGCTTCCATTTCATTTCATTTCATTTCACTCAGTCACCCAATCAAATATTTGTTGACTGCCTTCTAAGATAAGGTGGTGAAAGGCAAAATCTCTAGAGCTGCATTATCTAAATTCGAATTCCCTTTCTATAACTTTATAGCTACTGGGGTTTGGGCATGTTGCTTGACCCTTCTTCCTTTGTAAACTGAGAATACTTTAAAGGGTTGTGATGTTTAAATGAGTCAATATATGTAAAGCATTTACAGCAGCATTCAAGATATCATTCAATGTATTATTCCAATGTTTGGCTATCACTGTTACAATTCTTACTCTACGCTAAGTAACCAGGAGTTAGGAAAACAGTGTAAATAAGACAGATGAAGACTACTTGGGGAGAAAATAGCAAAGATTAGAAACTTTAATATTGGTTTAAATAGTGAGATTAACAATACATTGTTAACATTTTCTCAGGTTAAGTTTTTTTTTTTGCGGTGTTGGAGATCAAACCCCTGGCGTCATGCATGCAAGGCAAATGTTCTACCACTGAGCTAGTCCATCCCCAGTCCAATATTTCATGAGGCTGACATAAACGGTATTGTGTTTTTAATTTCAAATTCTACTTGTGTACTGATGGCATATGGAGAAGCACTTAACTTGTACATTAACCTTATATCCTGCAAATCTGCTGTAATCAGTTATTAATTCTGAGAGGGTTTTTTTTTTTTTTGGTAGAAGTGATTCTTTTAGATTTTATATATAGACAATCACATCACCTATGAAAAAAATTTTAACTTTCTTCCCAGACTATGTATCTTTTCTTGCACTATTGTTTCAGCGGGGGCTTCCTGTGTTCCCGGAGGCTCCATGTGCTTTGACTGGTACTCTGTTTCTCTCACTCCAAATAGCAGAAACCACTCATTGTTATCCCTATCATAATGGCCTGTGACCTGATCAAGTAAAATCTGCTTCACAGGACCACTCTGGCATACTTACTTAGCAATGCTCATTTTCACAAGGATTACAGATTCTTTTCAAGGAGCTCTGGGCTCCCTGTCTCTTCTTCACAGAACCTTCATTTACAGACTTGCCTTGCCTACTGTCTCCTGCCAGCACAGAGCAGAAGGGCTTCCAAGGCAGGTACCTGTATGCCCTCCTCAGAGTCCCCAAGGCCCCTATAGGCAGCACATAGTAGGTGCTCAGTGCATTTGTGCTGAAGAAGTAAACGGGTGGTCTGTGAAAAAGTGGGCTTTTAGATGGCCTTTCAATTTAAAAGGCATTCAAAAGGCAAATGATAAAACAGTAACTCAAATAACAGGCACATAGGGTTTTCAAGGGGAAAAAGATAAGGAACACAATAGGTAATATGAAGAATAAACACAAATGTGAAATGAACAAGAAAGATCATTCACTCTCACAATAAACAGTGATCCCTTTCTTACCACGGGGTTGTACCTACCTGGCTGTAAAAACCTGCAACAGTGTTTACACTATAGCCTTTGCACTAAGCTACATCCCCAAATCTTCTTCACTTTGAGACAAGGTCCTGCTAAGTTACTAAGTTGCCCAGGCTGGGCTCAAACTTTAGAGCCTCTTGCCTTAGCCTCCCAGTGTGCTGGAATTACAGTGTGCCACAGTATGGTTACAAGGGACAGCAGGCACACACCTAACCCGTAACTTTCTAAAGCAGTGAGGGAACTGTGCTCTCTGCTCCCCAGAGTGAAGCATCCTGAGCCACACTTGTGACCCTGACTAAGCCGCAGAGGTGTGGGTATGGGTGGGTTGGGGGAGCACTACTGATTAGAGTCAGAGGCTGGGGAGAAAGCTTCTCTGGGAGAACTCCTCCAGCACTGGTCAGCTCTTTCTCTGAGGCCTCATAAATGTGGCACTGCCAAGTGCAGACCACTGGTCATGATGGTGACAGCTAGAGTGCTCAAGGAAATGGTCAGATATTGGTATCTGTTCGCTGCTTGTTGCAGTTAGAGCAAGTGTGATCAACTCAGCCCAGAAGTAAACTGGTAGGCACAGAGATGTAAAAAGACTAGCTCTGCTTAGGGGTGGAAACTTGTAGACTGTAAGTTGATGGAGACTCTCATAATTGGGATCCTTCTGGACCTCAGCAGCCTTCTGTGGTAATTTAAGCAGTTTAAGACCAGTGCCAGCAACAAGAGACTGAAAGATGTTGTCTTCCCATCTATGCCCAGTTTCAGAAACCCTCAAGGCCAGAAAGTCAAGGAATGGTGCTCTTGAGCTTAAAAGTCATGACAAAGACAAGGATCTTTTGTAAAAGGAAGGAGACCAAGAGGTACAGGGAGTGGAAGGGGATAAGAAAAGAATTAAGATGTGTTATATATGTACATGTACCTACAGGGAATGCCATCATTATGTACTGTAAACCTGCACTAATAAAAAAATCTTTAACCACGGTTCATAGTCAAATCAATACTAACAATTTTTCCATTAAGAATTTAGTAACTTAATATTTTGATTTCTCCATAGAATGGTAGAAGTCATTTCTCTGTGTGTACTAAACCAATAGTTTCTGTGGGAAAACGTGCAAAGATAAGTATAAAAATTATTATAAGTGAAAATTTAGGAGATTATCATTAGTAGGATAGTTAAGTAATTGTAATATATTTATACAGGGTCTGTACATTTATTTATATATTATTTATTAAAAATAATAAATTACAAAAATATTTATTCATAATGAAATGTTGTTCATCATCTATTCCAAGAATTAAATGTGGGAAAAGAAAAACATCTTTGATGATCCCATTTTTGTGAATCTCTTCCAAATAACATGAATCTGTAACACACATGGGCATAAAAAGGGTGACAGGAATATGGGCAACTGTCAACACTGGTCATTTTTGGAGACTGGAATTGCATGGGGAACTTACATTTTTTGCTTTATATAGTTCTGCATTATTTGAATTTATTACAATAGGCAGGTGTTACTTAAATTTCAAACTTAAAAATTATTTAGAAAAAGTGCATCAAATTTATTTTAAAACTAAAAATAAACATCTTTTAGGAAAGATGAGATTTTCAAATTATTGATTCATATACAAGTTTATATAGGATTACCACTTTATGGAATTCTAAGGCTCCTACAATGGGCCATTTCTGGTACTTTGCTAATAATCACTCTCTGCAATAACTTCTGATGTTTTCATCACAAAGATTCCTTTTCCAGATTTTTCTACTCTTCTCCCTTTACCTCTCCTTTGGAAAGGTTTTGTCTATAAAAATAGCTGTATTTTTTAAGCAACAATTCTCTCTGGATTATGTTGTAATTGATGGGATCATTACTCCCAGAGCTTGTGCATTTATGTAATTCAAGTTCAGAGGGGACAACTGTGATATTTTAATTACTTGGTGAAGTCTTATCTTTAATAAATGGATGACTCTTCATTAGGTCCCAGATAAGGAAGTACTGGCTTGGTACATTACACTTCTAATGCACTGTAGTACATCAAATTACTACATTAGTAATTACACTAAGATATTGCTGCTATTCAAATTCTTGGTAAATTACCACAAAAATAAATCAATCTTAAAACACTCATTTTCTGTGTGACTCAAACAAAAGAGATCAAGAGAAACCAGAGAAGAAACATAAATGCAGAATCATATGCAAATAAAAACAAGTGATTCTGTTTTCTTACCCAAAATTTTATTTTATTAGGACGGAAACACAACAGGCTCTTAGGATCCAGTACTCAGTCTTCTGTTGCGTTCCGTATAAATGGAATGTAGAGATTTCTCTTATCCTTTGTAAACCACTATTACAATAGTTCTTCTAAATAGCCTAATGGGAGCTGACATTTTTAACTACCAGCATTTTTTGTTTGTTCTTTTTGAGACAGGGTCTCACTATGAGGTTCAGACGGGCCTTGAGCTCACTTTGTAGCCCAGGCTGCTCTTGAATTCCCAATGATTCTCCTGCCTCAGTCCCCCAAGTGCTGGGATTACAGGCTGTGACACCATGTTCAG